CTTGACATCATGAAATTGCGTCCATCAAAAACAATTTCTGGAGGGAAAATACATTCGCGTACAATCGAACAACGTGCGCCATCATACACGACGGAAGATCGCGCAAGCAAACAAAACCAAACGGTTAAATTTATTAACAGAACTTTTGGCGTTGTGGAGCACTCAGCTGTAAAGCTAATGGGTGTCCAATGGCAATAATACAAAACTCGCTCTTTCGAGTTGTTTGAGCAGTCTGGCGCCATGATACTGTGCGCATGTCTGGATGGGTTGGTGGCCCGTGTTGTACCACATGCGCTTGGCGAGAGCAACTGCATGTGTATATATACGGATGTCATCACGTATCTAGACGGGTACCGGCCAAGCTGCACTGACGAGGCGTAGTACGCCAAAACATGCACGTCCGCAGATTGTAGAATATTTATATATATATATATATATATATATATATATATATATATATATATATATATATATATATATATATATATATATATATATATATATATATTCATCCGTATAGGAATCATCAGGTGGTGAGTAATTTCGGAATTGTAGGTTGCTTTTATGTTATCGAAAGAATGTGCGGAATGCGTGTAGGCGAAACAATGCTTAGGCCAAACAATGCATGCTTGGGTCATTATTAGGTTTTGTTAACGGCCTTGTTTACTTGAAACCGGTTTTTGTGACGACATTTGCCGAAAATTTCGGTTCTTTTATTGAGTCAATTGTCTTTGTTTATGTCTTTAAAAATGCAAAATTTTTCTTCCAAACATAAATTGCAGCGTCTTGATCCCCCTGTGTACGAAATAGAGTGTTTTAAAATTGAACATTTGATGGTATAATCCTGATTGTTTTCTTTTAATTTCCAAATATGTTTCGAAAGTTCCGTTTTGTTTGAGTCTTTTTTATGAAGAAAAGATGAAGTGTCGTTAGCGTAACATTCCTTAAATGTAGTCGCTGTCATACCAATGCAGTGTTTAGTGTCGTTCGTGTTGTTCGTTGTGACTGTGGCTTTGTTAATAATGTTGTTGGTCATACATTTTTTCGGTAGTGGGCAAGTGTTTTTGTTGTCGCAGTTACAGTTGTCAGTTTTCGTATTCTGTGATTGACTGTTCCTAATTATATGTGCGTTCTGTTTGGTGATTATAGACTTAACGTTGTTAATGCAACTGTAGCTTTCTTTTAAAGTGTTTCTGTTGAAAATCTTGTCTAGTTTGTGCTGTAGTGCTGAAGTCCCGTCCATAGGTTCGTGTTAACACTCTTACTAAATGGTGGGTTGAACCAAATTATGTTGCGTTGCCTATTCATACGTTCCGTTGCGGTGCATCCTGAGTGTACGTAAATTCGTGATCAAAGTTACTGTGTGTAAGAGCGTTCTGGTAAATAGGTGTAGATTCCTTAAATGTTTGTTCGTCCGATCTTCTTCGGCGGTGATTTTCAGGTCAAATTGTTCGAAAATTTTGTGTAGCTCTTTTCTAGTTTTGTCTAGTAAACGGGCGGATTTGCTTTTTATAATAGCCAAACCATCATCTCTATAAAGGCCGATGCTTTCCTTGCAAAACCTCTTACATAAAGTGATTTAAAATGAAAAGGCCTACCAGCTCACAAATTTCAGCGCCGTCGAAACTATCCATAGTGACGTCAAATAAACTGTTGCTTCCGCCTTTTTTGTCCATAATTTGCTGTTGCCGAAGAGTAGAGATTTTCTTGCATGTTTTATTATTGAAATATCGTTTTCGGTGATAGTAGTCAAATCCGAAGCCCAGTCCAATGCTTCATTTAAAAGTTTTTCGGAAATGGATGGGTAAAAACCCAAAATGTCAAACGAACTAAATATGTGCCTGTCTTTATCGTTTATATTGCCAAACCATGAAATTACTTGTTGCGTATTTCTTCATTGGTTTGAATTTAGTTTTTGTCTCAAATTAGAATTGATTTTATCTAAAATAACCGTACTTAGGTTTCTGGATTCGCTTTTTGCGGGATTAATTAGTCGTCATTTTGGATTTTTTTCGAAATTTTCTTTGTGATCTTTTAAAGATATAAATGCTTCGCGTTTTTTCATTCGTTCAATTCTGTCGCCAATTGCTAACCTAGTCGAAATTTCTTTCAATTCGGAGTCGATTCATCTATGAAGTCCTCTGGGCCATATTTGTACGTTTCCGTGATGTTGTCATGTAAGAGTTGACTTCGTTGTATGTGTTCAGTGACGTTCCGTAAATGTTTCTAGTTTTGTCCGCGAAAACGAAAATGTTCGGGGATGAATTAATTTTCTTCAAATCGTTATCCAAAGATGTCTAAAATTGGTCAGTAGTAATACCCCCACTCTGGCAACGGAAGTAATTAGTATGCAAAATATCCGAAAGTAATAAGTATGCGAAATCTATGACGTAATTTTGCTGGCCCTAACCCTAACCTTGGGCCAACTGTGACAGGTAGCGCGACCAATTAGCGCGGGCAAGCCTGGGCCAACTGTGGCAGGTGACAATTAGCATCACAACTAGTTTCTGACAAATTTGTAATAAAACGACTAGAGGTTTCTCATAGTTTGCATGTATAAAAGTATGAAATAGAAGTTAGTTTTTAAAACCTACCGTTAGCTCAGTTGGTAGAGCAAAGGACTGTAGTTATTACCAAATCAGTATTCCTTAGGTCACCGGTTCGAACCCGGTACGGTAGAAAAAATTTTGCCTGACAACCATGTGGCAACGTTGTGAGTCTCTCTCTTATTTTCAACACGCAATTGAAATTCGTTTTAATTTTGATGGCTCGTTTTGAGCAATAAGTTTCCAAACAGAAATAAAAAATATCGCAACAGAAATAAGCAGTTGCTAATCCCGGGTTGTCAAAGCCGTTGTTATGATCGCTATTTGCATGTTGTTCAACATTATTTAGCAAACCTACGTACATATATACGGTCAAGATGACCGAGTCAGATAGAATACTTGAAGGAAAAAACCTGTAGAACAATTTAACAGTCTTAGTTGTAATATTTTTTCTCTATTATTTGTATCAAGAAACATGTTTTAAACTTTGCTGCGTTGTTATGCGTTGCTAAGTCATTAGGAGGCGTGTAGGTAATTAAGGGGATTAAGGTATACGAATTTGCATAACTAAGTGTATTCCGATGGATAGATAGGGATTATTTTTAACGCCGGTGTATACCTTAAAATCACGCGCGTGGCTTTGCCGGTGCATGCATATATTAAAGTACAACATATTTGTACACGGATCTTTTCGCGCGGGAGGAAAGAGCGGGCTTTGCGGGCAAAAATTTGCACAATATTTCAGTTTTAGAATACATTTATTTCTTCAAAATGTTTTACAAAATTTAGTAAGGTCTACTTCTAAGAGCGTAACGTCTAGGCGTTTTTGTTATCTTTAAAGAGTTCTCATATTCTTGTCTATCTTCTGGGGATAACTTTGCAAGTTTTTCCGGCTTCATTGGAATATATTTTGGTCGGTCGCTCAATATAAAACGTTCATAACCCTCTCTTGCTTCCGGAGTCATTCGCGCTAGGTCACGTTCGGTCCAATCTGCTGGGTCAACCCAATTGTGAAAAAAATTGCGCTTGAGTTTTGGCCGTTCGTCTTCTGTTGGTGGTGGTGTAAGGAAATTAGGTTTAGGAGTAGCAGGCACTGGTGGTGCTATCTCAACAAATTCATTGGGTTGTGGTATTTCTGCAGGCACTAGTGGAGTTGTCTGAACAGGAGCTTGAGCTGGGACATCCATCTTATTTTTGAATGTGAGAAACCGATTTAGTTGATCAGAGTATAATTTGCTTTTTTCCACTGCGCTTAGCTGTGGTGCATCCATGATTCCTTTCATTCGTTGCTCGGCATCATACATGGCATTTACAAGTGGTGGTTGTCGATACGACTGTTTTTGTATAAACTTTTCAATCTCACCGGGAAGTATGTTAGTCTTGAGTCGTTGTTGATCATCTGTTGTTGGCTTTAAATCCAACATCAAATACCCGTGAGGTCGGCTCGTAGCATCTTCATAACTCCTCATAAATTCTTGTACTCTTCCAGGATCTACTTGCCTTGCAAGCATAGAAATTTGCTGTTTATCTCTTGGTGACTTGAACAGCACGATATAATGGACTGATATTTCTCATTTCTTTGCCTTGATGGAATATATTTTGAACAATATAGATGATAGATAAATTCCGATGATGACTTCCTTTCGTAAAAAGATCAGAAATACGTTTATCTTTGCCAGATTGAGCCATAAGGTCGTCCAATACGATCAAATTCCGTTGCGATACGTCCAAGTAATCTGCGTTGTCGATGTCTTCGGGGATGCCCTGATTAAACTCGATTCCAGGCATCGTTCTCATCATATCAAAATAGGAGGGTTGCCATTGACCATAACACCAAATGATACGTTGAGGAGGTGGACTTATAGTTTTCTGTGCGCTCTCTAGGAGAGATTTCACCCATACAGTCTTGCCGCTTTGTGTACACCCGTCTACGATACACGTAAAAGGATGCTGCAAAACTGCAGATTCATTAGCCGTCATGCGAATGTTGTCGGTTGGTTTTTGATCATGCACTTTTTGTTTGTGTCGATTTAAATTGAACGGTTTAGAGAAATATTTTCCACAGATATGACATGAATGAGACATGTTTACTCTATGACGAATAGTTAGATAATAAATCTTTCAAATAGAAACCCGGTTTATATAACTAGTATCTCGTAGCCAACTTCCTAGTCTCGGACCCAAGCTCCTTAGGCTTCCAGCCAGCTCCTTAGGCTCGGAGCTCATTAGGCTCGGAGTCAGCTCCTTAGGCTCAGCTCCTTAGGCTCGGAGCCAGCTCTTTAGGCTCGGAGCCGAGCTCCTTGAGCTCGAAGACAGCTCCTTAGGCTCGGAGCCGAGCTCCTAAGGCTCGGAGCCAAGTTCCATAGGCTCAGAGCCGAGCTCCTTAGGCTCGGAGCCAAGCTTCTTAGGCTCGGAGCTCCTTAGGCTCGGCTCCGAGCCTAAAGAGCTGGCTCCGAGCTCGGCTCCGAGCCTAAAGAGCTGGCTCCGAGCTCGGCTCTGAGCCTAAGGAGCTCCTTAGGCTCGGAGCCAGCTCTTTAGGCTCGGAGCCGAGCTCCTTAAGCACGGAGCCAGCTCCTTAGGCTCGGAGCCGATCTCCTAAGGCTCCAAGCCAAGTTTCTTAGGCTCAGAGCCGAGCTCCTTAGGCTCGGAGACAAGCTTCTTAGGCTCGGAGCCGAGCTCCTTAGGCTTGCAGCCAGCTCCTTAGGCTCAGAGCCGAGCTCCTTAGGCTTGCAGCCAGCTCCTTAGGCTCAGAGCCGAGCTCCTTAGGCTCGGAGCCGAGCTCCTTAAGCTCGGAGCCGAGCTCCTTAAGCTCGGAGCCGAGCTCCTTAAGCTCGGAGCCAGCTCCTTAGGCTCGGAACCGAGCTCCTAAGGCTCGGAGCCAAGCTTCTTAGGCTCGGACCCAAGTTCCATAGGCTCAGAGCCGAGCTCCTTAGGCTCGGAGCCAAGCTTCTTAGGCTCGCAGCCGAGCTCCTTAGGCTCGGAGCTCCTTAGGCTTGGAGCCAGCTCTTTAGGCTCGGAGCCGAGCTCCTTAGGCTCAGATCCGAGCTCCTTAGGCTCGGAGCCAAGCTTCTTAGGCTCGGAGCCGAGCTCCTTAGGCTCAGAGCCAGCTCCGGGCTCCTTAGACTCGGAGCCGAGCTCCTAAGGCTCGGAGCCAAGCTTCTTAGGCTCGGACCCAAGTTCCATAGGCTCAGAGCCGAGGGGGCTGGCTCCGAGCTTAAAGAGCTCGGCTCCGAGCCGGTCTTTCAATAGTTTAGCATCCACAACTAGTCTTCCGCGCATTTTTTAGATAAAGTACTGAGATCTCTTCTGTCTAAAGTGAAGCGATTATAACTAAACTTTACTTTTGCCTGTGTTTCTTTCGTCATGCCGGCATTGAGTGTTTTTGTTAGTTGGTCGATAGAAGAATATCGTGTTTCTTTAAGCACGACAGTTTGAGAAAGGCTACTGCCAGTTTTATACAAAAACGTTTGTTGCACTCCACGTCTTAGCGTGCTCCACGTATGGGGGTAGTGCATTTCCGTCAATGCGACTTCCCATTGTCCTGGCAATACAATGGTTTCAGCCAATTTCACTCGAAAATTCGCTACCGTATTATTTGGAAAATAGGCTAACGAACTATTACTCGGTAGCGTGAGATAAAACTGTGTTGCCATATTGAAGACCAATACACAAATGAACACAACTGATAAGTTTCTAATACATTGATTTAATATCTTTTACACTCTCTGCTGGTACCCAAGAATTAAATTTATCGGGGTAACCCAACCATTTTACAAAATATTCTTTACGTTTATTACGCATGCGTGATCTAAGTACTTCTTCGACTCTATAAAAATCACTGTCTGATTTATTCACTCTCTGAAGCTCTTGTTCGTAAAATGTTCCTTTCAATTCTTCGTCATCAAAATCAGCGATCTTGTACACGGGTGGGCGTCGAAGAACACGTTTGGTTATCGTAAATACTTCCTCGGTCCAATTAGGTAAGTATCCTTTCTTAAATGTGCGCCTTGCTTTGCTGATTCGTACTTGGTCGCCAATGTTAAACTTGAACCGAACGGATTTGTCTGACTCTTCTCCATAAAGTTTTTGCCACACAATGCTCTCGTTGTCTTCATTTACATCAACAGGCCTCATGCCAATACTACGATGTCTCGAATGATTATAAGATTTTACCAGTTTCTGGAGAATGTCCACGTACTTGAGCGTATTCTTCGCTGTAAAGTATTTCCACATTTTCCTCTTGAGCGTACGATTAAACCTTTCGACAATCGATGCCTTGGTCTCGTTTTGCGTCGTGAAAAACCGGATGTTATGTTTCTTCAAAAAGGCTTGAAACTTTTGATTCATAAACTCTGTCCCTTTGTCGCTGTGAAACGTTTCAGGCTTTCGACCTTTTTTAAGTATTTTCTCAAAGGCTTTGACAAGATTTTCTCCAGTCTTTGTTCTTATCGGTTCAGCCCACGCATATTTGCTAAGTACATCGATTACAGTTAAAATGTACTTAAAGCCGTTATTATATTTGCTTATCGAGTCCATAATCACAAGATCCGCCTCCCACTGCTCGTCAATTGCGCCTACAATAACACGGTTCCTTTTGAAACGATATCTTACAGATTTATGTAAAGTATACGTGTCTTGCTTTTGTAGCCATAGCCGTATTTTATTCCGCGATATCTGATGTTTGCCTTCGTCTTTTACGACACGGTAAATTGAATCTATGCCACCAAAGCTTGCGGGACTTTCTGGATTGTAATAGATTTGGCTCAGGTACTTTTCTGCCATCAATGTCTGAGGCTTGAATTACAATTTTCCCTCCACAGCAAGCGGAAATACAACGCACTTTCCGAAAGATATCTCGGAGGGAAATTTCTGGAAGACTTTTACCACAACAGGGCATCCTTTCACCTCAGAGGTTAGAACGAAATGAACCATGCAGCAATCATAGACTAACATATAAAGCTATTAGTGTAAGTGAGAGCGCTATTAAAATTGGTGGTTTATTATTCCTCCCCGCTTTTGGGATATAAAAAGTTCGAAAGGCCTCGATAGTTTTTCGGACATGTTCTCGAACGCTTTCCTCGCTGCCACTTTGCACACAAACTAACGCTAATAAGCAAAAATGCGACCAAAGTTTGTCATATTTATATCTCTGTAGACTTGGTCAAGGTTTAGACCATGAGCACTCATTTCACGATATAGATCTCGATGGTGGTCGAGAATTGCATTTATATGAAATGATAAAGTCTGCTTATCGATATCAATTTCATTTTGTCTCAACTCGTCAAAAATTATATTTATATTATTCATTTCACCAGAGAACCTCTCACCATAAAGGTTAAAACCCAAATGAGAAATGTAAGTGATTTATCTCAATAACATACAGAACACATTCATGATGATAAAAACAATTTATTTCGTTTTATTACAGTTATTCATATTTCTTAAGGAATTCTTCATACGCTTCCTTAGCATTAATGTTAGTACTAGAGAATGTTTCTCCCGTGTCTTCATTCTTGTATCGATATTCTAGCGGGTCACTGAATAGGACGAAGCCAGTCTTGGCCACACGAGGTTCGATCTCTTTCCATTCGAAAAATCCACAGCTGTCTATCTGAGGGCAACAGTAAAACAGGCGGTTCTGGGTGGGTCCTTCTTTCTTCACTTTACGTACGGTGCATACCATCCCGTGCTTGCAGCGTGGTCGAGGGCTTTCGTAAATGTCTCCCCATTGCCAAAAGTTGCAAGGATCATGTCGATCAGAACACGTGAAGAAGGGTCTTCCATAATTTTCTTTCATTTTATCTTTTACCACACGTAATTTGGCTAGTCTCTGATGTGTTGGGCAAATGGGATGATTGGAACCACTA